TCTTCAATCGGAATTACGATACCGACGTCCAGCGAAGAAAAAGAGGAAAAGCGAGACGGGAGTGGATTGGGCCGGGTCGGGTTCGCCGCACGGCGTCATATGGGCCGGGGTGGGGCGGCAGCGGAGATCCATCAAGATTCAGCGAGGTCTGTGGCGGTACCCGCAGCGGAGGAGGTTGTCCAATTGTAGCCGTTCGTGATGAATCGGACCCCGCGCCCTCCAATGATTGATGGTCGTGGAGGGGAGAATGATGGAAAGATTCACGGAGGCCGCGTAACGCGCGTGTTGTGGCTGGTATGGGCCTGTGTCATTGGAGTGGCCAATGGGACATCTGTCCTGATTTCTCGTGCCCACTTTGGTGTGGCGTGAAGCTCTCACGGCCAATGAGAGACAGCATCTCTTCATGAGGTCAGTCCGTCAGGGTCCTGCGATGAGCCGCCCGTCAGTTCCCTTTTCCGGCCCGGGACTGAAGGTTGCCCTGGTGCCGATTGCTGAATGAGGCAGGGGAGCTACCTTAGGTGTCAGGGGCCAGGGAGGCTCAGAGGCGTCCCTGTCCAGCTGGTTGAAGCAGGCGCAGAGGGCTTAGTGGGCCTTTAGGGGCTCTCGGGCCCGCGGGTCGTTCTTCAGGTTGAGTGTCGTAGCATTTTGCTTCATTTACGAAGGATGTCTTTGCCAGAACAAGCTCGCCGTACAGCCCTTTTTGAATTAGAGGCTCATCGCTCTAGTCCAGATCGGGGACGTTATCGGGTTAGAACGATGAACAGAAGAAGCATAGTTGACTTTAGGTAATGCGGATACCCCGTGATTGCTACCTTGGACTGCACGTTGGGGAAAAGAATGAGCTAGGGGTGAATAGCAGTGAGCCAGTCAACGTGGACGATGGGGGCACAGGGACTGAAGATGCCAGAAAACTTGGTCTGTCGTCAGCTTTGGTCGTCGGTAAGTCGGTGTGTCGTGTCGTGTCGTGGTCTGCTGCGACACCCAGAGTTGCCACACCGGGCCAGTCAGAAGTCGGGCACCGAGACACTGCCAGCACCATCTCGCAGCGCTGCGGTACCCAGGCATCGTTTGATAGGCATCGCTGTGATCACCGGAACGCTAAAGGCTAAAGCGAGGTGACGATGGACGGCTGGTGTTCTCGCTTGCTCGCTAAACCATTAGTGACTGGCGAGGTCTGGGGTAGTTGACAATGTTGGGGGTTGCGTGCTGCTCGGTGGGAAGGGCGAGAATCGTTACTCTCTTTGGGCAGGTTTCTGAGGGACATGAGTAGTGACTCCCTAACGCCAGCAGTAGCACATTACTGGGCCAGTCAGAGGTGAGTTTTGTTGCTGTTGCTGCCGTTCCGTTGGAAGTGTATCTGTACGATGGAGAAAAACCTGAACTCGGATGAGGATGAGGGGCTGGAGACACCAGGTCCGCGCTGTCACGGACACTTGCCGACCACCTGCCATATCGCAGTCCGATGCTTAGACAGTAGTCTAATAAGTTCCAACTGCCTGACTATTCATTTTAAGATGGAGAGCAGGATAGAGAGGCGCGACTAAGAAAAGGTACCGCACGGTGATGCGTCTTCGCCCCCTTTGGGAAAAGTACCTTTTCTGCCAGCCACAGACGGATATGACCGACCGTCCGGGTTGACCTGGCAGGCCCCAACCTAAGCCTAGGAACCATGATGCTACCCGGTGATCAACGCAGGTATCCCGCAGCTTTGCTTCCTCGAAGCCGGCTTTTAGTGCCTTCATGATATAAACGAACCGGGTTGCCGCCTTCCCGTGTTTGCGGCCTTTGTCCACCCGAATGTCATCATTCACCTCCACTTACACTACGGCATAACGAACGCAACGTCAACCGTCTATCACAGCCCACATCATCACCTACGGATACCTCACCTGGCCACGAGCAACGAAGCACCATCGAATAACAGCAACGACCCCAACCTAAAATGCCCTGACGAACTCTCCGTCTCCACGAATCTTTCCGTCTTTTCCTCTGACATCTCGAGCTTGCCCATCCCACGCGAATCAGTACACGACTGCCTCATCGATCCCCGCAAAGCCGTTTCAGCTTCGACTTCTTTGCTTCTTACACGACCTTACGCCCAAGAGTCGGCTCGTCCACAAAACAAAACAGCCCATTCCCTACCGCGCGCTTGTTCAGTGGAGAAACGCCCAGGACCCTTCTCATCGAGCTTTTCGTCATTCTGGTTCTGCCACTCGCCCGCGGAACACCTGTCGAGTCTTTTCTTTTGGATATCCTTGGGCGGATACCCTACCCTACGTTCTTCGGTGTACGAGCCCGTGTCAGCACCCAGCGTCGTCTCGGCAGCTCCTCTCCGTCTGCTGCCTCCCCGCCGCCTCTGCCCAGACTCTCCGCCGTCTTACCGCCTTCCAAGACCATCAGGACCAAGTCCTTGGTGGACCACCTCTGACGCCCAGTCCCGGAATATCGGCACCGCTTCGCACCAATGGCCTCGGTCTCTCCAGGTAAGCCATGCCATTTTCCATCATCCACACGTTTCCCCATGTCTCTTTTCCTGCCTTTCTCCTCCGAGCTCCATTCTGCGTCACTCATTTCAGCCCGATTCCATCTTTCCATCTTTCCACTCCGTCTTCTCGCGGAACCCTTGCGTCCTCCACTCGTTACTCGATGGCCCGTCTGCGAGGAAACGCCTTGCGGACACGCCGCCGGGCCATCCGTGCTTTCTAGAAGGAAAAGAGGCTTCTTAGCCATCCATCCGTCCATCCATACCCTGTCAAGTGCAAGCTCAAGCCCAGTCATGTTATTTTGCCTTTTTTTGTTGGGCGGTTGGGACAGTTCCCACGGGCACAGCACAGCAGTCCCGTCTCCATCCAATGATGATGGCACGATCAGAGTTCGGAACATGACACTGCCAAACACAACTCGTCATGACCTCCAACCGTATGTGCGTTGCATGGCCGAGTCCCTCATGCAGGTCATCCCAGACTCAAGCAAGCCCTTTTCTCGCAGCACGGAGCGAGTTTAGTGCTCGTCCTGTGCAGCGGAAAGAAACCTAAGCCGGAGCATCAGTGGCATTCTTGCAGGTTTCCCGGGCACTTGTGTTCCCCCGCTTCCACTCTCACTGCCGTACCCCAGTCACTCGTTGGCACTGCTGCTGCGTCTCGCTGTTGCGTCTTGCTGCTGCGGCCAGTCATTCCTTGCGGCTGCGCTCAATTCGAGTTCGCAAGCGGAAGGCCGAGCCCGAGCGAGGACCAGCGACACAGCGAGAACAACTGAGAAACAAGACACACCACACCTCCACACACCTCTCAGGCAAAAGCCCAAGAGGCGGGACGTTACGTGTTGTCAGATGCAGCCATAGCGAGCGGGAGGGAAGAGAAGCATAGGCCAGTAGCCACCTTAGATGCTCATTTGAGTCTGCACCCCTCTAAATAGTCGCCTCCCCCCGCCCATTCCCGCGGCTGTTGGGGCGCCAGAGAGGAGATCACTGCCCGGAATCCCGCCTTCTCATTTGCTTACCGCCGTCTGCTGCTCTCGTCTCGTTCCTGGGCCTGCCGGTCTCATTAACTGGCCTCACCTGTTCGGGAGGGGATTCGTAATTGTCCAAGACGCTAAAGGATCAAACGGCAAATCCAAATAAACCCACGAGAAAGAAAGTCCCGTCGGACGGTCGGCGTCTCGCCTGAACTCGGTCCAGTCTGGTCTTTATTTCCGCCTTTGTCTCTTGGATATCCCATTTTCGTTCCTGAACACCTTTTGCCGCCTATTCCTGAACAGAGAGCAGTCTCTCCTACGTTCCCCAGTCTTTATCTACTCTACTTCCCCACGCCGCTATTATTCCATTGAATATCAGCCACCAGACCTTCTCTGCGACCGTCTCTATCTACTTCCGCACTATTTTATCGTCGATCGGCTCCCCACAGAAACTAAGATCGCATCACCGCAGAGCCTGACACCATGGCGAACTCACCAAGAAGCCCATCCACCAAGAGCACGAAGAGCCAGAACAGCCTTCGCAACACGGGCTTTCCAGAGCCCTTCAATGGCGGTAAGCATTTACTTTGATCCCTCCAACACTCTTGCATTCGTACTAACAACCATAGAACGTAACACTACCCTGCCACACCCCGACGCCAACCTGTCACCAAACGCCGTCATCTCGCAGGATGATATCAACTCCAACAAAGTGATGGCCAGGACACGTCGTTCATTCCTGCAAAAGCACAAGCGAACCATCAGTCACGGCGTCATCACCCCACAAATGGCCGCCATGTACAGCGAACTCGCCAGCGAAGCCGGATCAACTGCCGTTCTCGACCACGACATCCACTCCAACACCAGCCAAGCGAGCTTGCCGACCGGTCGAATCAGCAAGGACGGAGCCGAAAGCATCCTCTCCCACAGCGGCGATTTGTCACCAGTCACGTCGGAGCAAGGTCGCAAGAACAGCATCTTCAAGAAGCTCGGCTGGAGGAAGTAGGACGACGCCGCCGAAGCGCCAGTATCGAGATCTATCAGCAACGTCGACCCGAAAGATGACGATACAAAGCGGTTCAGTCACTTCACGACGATCCGCAAACGATGAAACGGCCGAAAATTGTAAAACCAACATTACAGCGCAAGCGAGGAGTTTTCATTTGGTTTTGGGTTGGGGACACAGGCGGTATGGGACTTTTTGGGAAACCACGGGAACGGCGTACATGAAGGGCGGGCAATTTCAAAATGGTCCTGAGGAACTTCATCCTCGTATTTTCTTTTGTCACTGGCGAAGCCCGCCCTGCTGGCAGGGAAACAGATCCCGTCGAGGGAGAACAACCTAGGAACAACGGTGGACGAGAACTATCGTTAACCAGCAAATCATAGTAATTCTATCGTTAGTTGCAAGTTCCTTGCACTTTGGATATCATGCTTTTCTCTCTGCCTCGACTCCTGAGCGTCGTCATATTGTACCTCACTGTTCCGCTTGCCAAGTGCTTTCATGCATCAAAACCCACACCCATCCAAATCACCCACGATCGCGCTCAGCTACCCCGGTAGGTCGTGTAGCTGTAGGGACTCAACAGCAGCGGCACGTGATAATGCTGGCCCTCCTGGACGGTAAACACGACGACGGCCTCGGGGAAGAACGTCTTGTCGTCGCCGCCGAAGTAGGCGGCGGTGTCGAAGCGGAGGGTCCAGCGCGAGGGGCCGGTGATCTCGCCGAGGACGTCCTCGAGGGTGTAGACGGGGACCTCGCCGGCGGTGTCCTCGGAGGAGTAGGGCAGCCAGGCCTTGACGCGGCCGTCGTCGTCGGTGAGGGACTCGAAGGTCTTTTGGATTCCCGGCTGGCCCGGGGCCGAGGGCGAGGAGGAGGTGGTGGTGGAGAGCTGGACGCGGACGCCGCGGGCGGGGCGGCCGGCTGAGGTGTCGAGGACGTGGCAGGTTATGCGGTCCTTGGTTTGGGTTGACATTTTGTGTGATGTCTGGGGTTGAGGGGAGGGGGAGAATATGTCGGCTGGTGATTTGGGAGGAGAAGCCGGGGATTTAGATCGGGCGGGATGGAGAGGTGAAATGGGAGAGGAGGATGTGAAGTTCGTTGGGTGGTGAGCTGAGGACAGGTCGGGCGTCGGTGAGGCTCTCTCTCACTCTATCTGGCTCTCGTGGAACGGCTGATGGCGGGGTAAGAAGGCGGGCGGTGTTGGTGAGGCGGTGGTACGGTCCCGGGTCCAGTGTCTTGGCGGGGTCCCTGAAGTACCTCCTGCCTGGAGAACTAAAGTGGGGTTGGGAGCGGCAGTTGCCTGATGCTTTGCCGATTTATATTTCTTAGTAGAATTTGAGAAGAGAGACGAGAGTGCTTGAGAAGAGCCCAGACTTTGATAAATTGCAATTCAGACTAACAAGTTGGGGAGTACGGTGTTCTTTTAAGAAGGACGGTCTCTCAAGGAGGGGCGGGAGACCCGTTTTCGATATCGGGAGAGCGTCGCAGGGCGCCGGGTCGCGATGCGGAGATCCCTGTGCGCGTCCTTCAGCTGTTGGTTTCGAGGGACGTAGGACTTGGGTTCGTAGGACGACAAGGCGAGTAAGTAGTCGAATTAATCAAGACATGTAACACCTTTCGATCGTCTACGGGATATTCGTACATGCACTTCACACTTCACACGCGTCTGGGCTTCTGTACGCCGGCGATCGCGATGCGGTGGTATTCGCCGCTCTTGGCGAGCCGAGCCGAGAGCTGCGAGAGCTTGGAGCTCAAGTTTCGTCAGGCTTTGCAAAGTCCTGCGGGACACTAGGCAGCATAGTAGCCGGCTGTGCAAAAATAGAAACGGGTGAAGGATGTAAGCCACGGGAGATGGACGTGAGATTCTGGCCCCTTTGGACCAGTACGGGTGTACCTTGGTCGTCAGCTTTCCACGCAAAGTCCTAGGTACCGTTTGATGCTGACGACAGGTTATTGTTATAGGTGTCCTGGATCTCGAACTGGGATGGGCCACACCTGACTTTTGGTCCCCGATGTGAATAATGCCGACGCCCGACTCGTCCTCGGAAATCATGACGGAGGAACGGAGCTGGCGCTGGGGCCGCTGACGACCGGCGCCTGCCGGGCCACTGGGCGGGGGAGCCCGGCGTCCTGGGCTTCTGTCACCGCCGACGCTGTGGGGCCTTGATCATCTCATCTTCGGACGCTGCGATATCGCGCAGAATTCCTGAGATTCTCGAGGTCGAAATGGCTGCTTTCTGTCTTGAGTCCGAAATCCAAATCATTGGTGCTTCTTGCTGCCTTTCCCATCGCAATAGAACAGAAGTTACGTCATTATTCAATCAATCGCACCGCCAAGTCGGGTCGCCCTGAACCTTCTTATCAGACCAATCAGAAAATTCCAATCTGACAGGAACAGCAACGTGCCAACGACGGCGCCATCAATCCGAACACCAAGAAAAAGCCAAGACGACCCATTTCGCGTGGCATTCTTGGAAAAACCTGTAATACCAACGCAGAGGAGCACGACCCCGATAAGGTTTGCGCTCCAGGCCGTGCCAGCGCAGCGCAGAGGGCTGCGTGCATCCTCCCGTGCGTTGCTCAAAAGGCCACCCAAGACCGTCCCAGAATGGACCATGATCTCACCCCGAAGTGAGCCCAAAGGGTCTTGGTATCGACCGACCGCTCGCTTCAAACCACCAAGAGGCTTGGCTACTCCCAGCTGACGTACACAACGCGGCCCGGCCAAGCAGGACGAACCAGAACACCATGACCCGGCACACGAAATAAGGGGCGCGGCGGAGGCGGGAAATCACCGCCCAGAAGGCCAAGCGCATCGCGTCGAATGAAGGCTGTATGACCCTCGCCGGCGTACAAAACTCCCAATGGCCCCTCTCCCCGTTCTCTCGTCAGGACTGAATCGGCAAACACCTCAAAACGCGGAAAGAGTGCGCATCCGCAGCCCACGACGCGACCCGACGAGCAGCACTTTTTTTTGATGGATCACCCCGTCACAGACCCTGCCGAGGGCGTCCAGTACCTCACCGAAGACGAAATCAACTCCTTCCTCGACGACCTCGACCACAACGACGACGGCTACATCGACTACGCCGAGGTCGAGGCGAAACTCGACGCCGCGCACGATGAGCTCGCCCCGTCCGCCCAGGTGAAGTCTCACCACGTCATCAAGAAGTCCCACGACTCCTACGATGACAGACTCCGCCATGAGTTCCTTCAGAGCATCATGGGGGTCTCCGGCCCGGGGCCCCATCCCGGCTCCGACGCCACGGAGCCCGACGCCCGGAAGACCCGCATCCCCCGCGCCGAGTTCGCCGACCGCGTCCGCGAGTGGAAGATCCCCTCCCTGAAAAAGGACAAGGCGTCCGAGGACGACCAGAAGCACTACGTCAAACGACTGAGGCCGTGGCGCCGCGTGAGGGCGTACTGGGCCGTCCACGGGCCCGAGATCGCCTTCTTGGGCCTGGTCGCGGGCTTCATGCTGGCCTTCGGCATCTGGCAGTGCGTCAAGTACGTGACGACGCCGCAGTACCGCGCCGCGTTCGGCTGGGGCGTAGTCATGGCCAAGACGTGCGCGGGGATGCTGTACCCGACCTTCTTCTTCCTCATCCTCAGCATGTCGCGGTACTTCTCGACCTTCCTGCGTAGATCGTACTACGTCTCGCGCTTCATCAACTGGGACCTCAGTCAGGCTTTCCACATCAGGATCTCCATCGCCGCACTGCTTCTCGCGACACTGCATGCCATTGGCCACCTGACGGGCTCCTTTTATCACGGCAGCCGGCCCCAGAACCAGGATCGCGTGGCGGAGGTGCTTGGCCCGGATATGGTTCCCCGGCCGTACATCGAGTACGTCCGCTCCCTCCCGGGCTTCACGGGCATCACGGCGCTGGGACTGTTTTATACCTTAGCCCTGTGCAGTCTTCCTCAAGTACGGAAATGGAACTACGAGGTTTTCCAGCTTTCTCACCTGCTGATGTACCCCATCATCGGGCTCATGATGGCCCATGGTACGGCAGCGCTGTTGCAGTGGCCCATGTTCGGCTACTTCCTGGCCTTCCCGACGCTTCTGATTCTCATCGAGCGTTCCGTACGTATCGGCACTGGGTTCCACCGCATCCCAGCAACTCTCAAGGTCCTGGACGGCGAGACGGTCGAGATAACAGCCACCATTCCCAGCGAGCGCATTTGGAAATATCAAGCAGGACAATACGTGTTTCTGCAAGTGCCGAGGATAAGCAAGTTCCAGTGGCACCCGTTCACGGTCTCCATCTGCAAGGGGAGGGAGTTCCAACTGCACATCAAGACTGATGGGAACTGGACTAAGAAGCTGCGGGAGCTGGGAGGGGACGCAGGAGAAGCTAGCATCGAGGTCGGCATCAACGGGCCGTTCGGCGCGCCGGCGCAGAGGTTCTACGACTTCAGTCACACCATCATCGTGGGCTCGGGCATTGGCGTCACCCCCTTCTCCGGCATCCTGGCAGACCTGCAAGCGAGAGACGACGAGGAGCACGGGGGACCGACTCACTCGGGTCACCACCAACACCGTCACGACTCCGACGCGACAGCAACGTCCAAAGGACAAACAGAGAAACCTACCACAGACGCCGACGACCCCTCGAAGCCGCCGCACCCCTCGGAATCCCACGCCTTCGCGCCCGACTACCGCCGCGTCGACTTCCACTGGACCGTCCGCGACAGGAACTACCTCCTCTGGATCGCCGACCTCCTCAACGCCGTCTCCCGCAGCCAGGACTGGCACCGCGCCAACGAGGGCGCCTCCCAGCACCTCGACATCCGCATCGCGACGCACGTCACCCAGAAGAGGAGAGACATCGTCACCCACGTCTACCGCTGGCTGCTCGAGATGCACCGCACCGACCAGCACCCCGAGTCGCCCCTGACGGGCCTGCTCAACCCGACACACTTTGGCCGCCCGGACTTCGACGCCATCCTGGACCGCCACTACGACGACATGCGGAAATTCCGGGCTAGCAAGAGGCTAAACCGCAATGTGGGCGGCGGCGGACGACGTGCCACAAACGTCAGCCAGAAGTCTGACAGGCTTGGCGGGAACCGCCCTGGTGGAGGGGGAGGAGGGGCAGGAATGGGCTCAAACGCGGGAACGGACGTCAGAGAGAAGAATAGCAGCATTGATGGCGTCGGAAACGGGCGAAACGGCACAAACGAGGGCCACGACGACGACGACGACGTTGCGCGCGGCAATGCCCGGGCCAATGGCGACGGGGATCGAGGCAGCGGCGTCGTGGACGACGACGACGACGACGATGAAGAGGACGAGGAGATGAAGGTCGGCGTGTTCTACTGCGGAGCGCCTGTTGTCGGGGAGATCCTGGCGGACAAGTGCCGGCAGCTCACGGTGCGGGGGCGGCACGACGGGAGCAAGATCGAGTACCACTTCATGATTGAGGTATTTGGCTAATGCACGATATTAGAGTGTATGTAGCGAAGAGATTTTACTCGGAGTCAATGACCGCCCAGATTACGAGTGCCCAAAGTATCGACTGCGTGTGGTGCGGGTGCGGTTCGTCCGCTAGTTGGAAGAGAAGAACATGACAGCGCACAGGAACCATCCTTCACGAGAGAAAAAGCATGCGAGAAAAAGCATGCGGAGATGCCGCCTGAGTCGAAGACGACAAATTGTAGCGAACCGGATCAGGCGCCTTGTGGAGGAAAGGATGCTGGAGTTCTTCTCCAGACTTTCAAGCCTTTTTCCAAGCATACATTAGCGCGGAAGCGTATGTCAAGCCGCGTTCAACCACGTTCGGGAAGCACATCCGAATGTGAATTACGGGCACTGATGATGAGGGAACCGGGAAACGCACGCCATCAGCCTCAATCCATGGAACCGGTGTCCAGTCTGCTTTACACCTCGGCGCTAACACGCCGACCGCCGAGCGCGTGACGTGGATGAACACGCAAACTTGCACCGCCTAACGAAGTGAAGGAAGGAATTAGAATTTCGCACTAAGACATGTCGGCCGTCGGAACTCTCGCGATGCGAACTCTTGTTCGTGTGCGTCGTCGAAGTTTGGGGAATATTGTTGTTGTGAGTGGGGAATTACCGCCGCCTACATGCCTATTGTATGGAAACTTCCTACGCATACAAGGTCAGGCCGGGCGCTTACGGCGTCGAGATTTCACGCCTGAAATGTCAAGTGTCGACGGTTCAGTTTACTCGCATTTGCTTGCATCGGTAACCCCATGAACCCGGTTCATCTTGGTTGTCAAGTGTGTGTTTCTGACGCATTCCCCTTCTGGCTTGAAAAAGGGCAATCGTTTTTTTTTTCCTTCCAACCAGGTAGTCCGCGGTGTAAAAATACATTGTTCTATGAAATTCTCCGGCGGGCTGAACAAGGGTCCAGGTTTTTTTTCCCCTTGAAAACTCCCGTGTTAATTCCTCCCCGGCAAATTTCATCCATGAGTCCCTGCAGCATGCAACAACCAGGCCGGGGTCAAGGGGACCAGCGCGCGACTCGAACCCTCGCTCTCGTTACCCACTTGACACACGTCTTGTCTTGGTATCGCCTTATGGAAATACACCAACCAAGCCCCCTTGTTCAACGGTCCCGGCCCAAACGGTTTGAATTGTTCCTCAGCGTCTCGAGAGAGTCACCTTAGTAATGGATGCCAAGAGGGGCCGTCTCTATCTGTGTCTGTCTGTCTTGTGGTTTGTCGTCTCGAACGGAGTTTGTCCCTCATATGATCTGACCTCGAACGAAAGGGGGGGTTTCCTGTTGCATTCGACCAGAGAAAGATGAAGGAGGGCCAAGAGGAAACACTGCGGGGACGTCGATCACGGGCATCAGTATCTGCAGGACATGTCTGGAATAAGGCAGATCTGGGTCCATTCTTGGCTCCTTTTTCGCCGACGACGCGCTTCAGCTGCTATGAGATTTTCATTCCACTTCACAATTAATTTGCCGAAGCGGCAGCGAAGTCGGAAAGGCAAAGACACACACGAACGTGAAAGGTGACGGACATTTCGCAAAGAGGGGATGACACACACACACACACAGAGTTTTCCGGACGACAACGGACCACGCACCGCGACGGCATCCCATTCGCCCCAGTTCCTGGATCAGTCAAGACGAGGGAGAACAAGCCCAATCGCGGTTTGGTCCGACGACGAGATGACGACGGGCGGGCAGGGAAGATGGGCTCCTCTGGCTGTTGAAAGCGAGGACTAACAACTTTGGCCTGACTTGACTTTCGCCTCACCTTCGGCGGAAAAGACCACAGACACATGAGACCCCCCTTTTGGCGCATCTTTCGGCCAAGACCCTTAACGCCAGACCCCCGTTTCTCTTTACGAGCACTGAATATGCTCCAATGCCTGTTGGATCGATGTTGAATAACGAGATATCTTCAACCCGATACACGGTGTCACGCCTTGAGCCGCAATCGCCAAGAATATTAGGGCGTTCCCTTTTCTGGATCTGCGCTAGGCTGCTAGTCGAGATCTCGAAAAAGGGAGGGTTTCTTGCAGCAAGCGACTAGCGGACGGCTAAGCATGCCTAGACTGCTAGCGCCACCGCCGTGCCTCGCATCTTTTGCGGGTTGAATGAGGATGGAGGAGGACGAAGAGGAGGAGGGATGTGCGTTTGGATCTGCCTTCTGCAGTCTGCACACGTCGACGCTGGCGTTACATCGCGGCCGCCCCTTCTCACATCAAATCTTGGCACACTTGATTGACATTTCTGCCGCCAGAGACTAGCGTACATGTGTGCCTGTCTTGTCTCCTCCGCGCAAGGTTCCTGGGGGCCAGATTTCCGTATTTTTGGGTACAATCCATACCTCACGGTGAGCAGCAACAGGCTCACGTTCGATTGATTGGCCTCGGGATGCGAGAACTCGAGAATACCATTGGACAGAGCCGCAAAGAGGAGAGAAACCGAGACGGTCTCCCTTGCCCCGCAAGACGGGCAGATCCTAGACTTCTCCAAGGTCTCGCTGTACCGTCGATCGATCAGCGGCGTTTCGTCGCGTCCGGGCTGGGGGTGCGCTGAAACGGACAATGCGTGGGTGCATGGATTGTCGTTGGAGGTGGAGGTGGAGGAGGGGTGGTGGGTGGGGAGGAAGCCCCAAACATGCCGTTTGAGCCGCATCTGAAGCAAACTACTTCGCAGCACCGTCAAATGACTGGCTGTTCACTCTCTCACTGGTAGCATCCCGTTGCCGCTATCCATTTGCCGTGGCCTTTTCTTTTCTCAGAGTGTTGATGTGCCAAGGGGTTCGATATCAAAACAACTAGTTTGTTCGAAAGAGACAGAAAAAAGACGTCCGTGATGTTTCTCACCATGCGCCCACTTCCCGCCAAGGCCACGTCAGGCAGGCCGGGCCTGGAATCGAATGGCGCGTAACTCTCACCGGGTAGCGAGAAAGTGTCAATGGCCATGGGATCCGTAACACACACATACACACACACGCATGTGTTCTCTCACTAGGCACTCGAGCCAGGGCAGATCCGGCCTGTCGACGGCAGCTGTTGCCGCGAGAAAAAAAAAAGGTCAAACGGAGAGGTAACGACCTTCGTCCTTTTCGGGCAGAGTAAACGACGCTTAGGCCCGACTTCCGCTGAGGGGTTACGGGGGGTGGAGGAGGGTTAACCCAAGTTGGGCCAAGAAGCAGGCTAATACTCTCTCCTCTCTGATTTTGGCTTTTTTTTTCTCTGCTGTAATTGTAGCCATGTAACTTATACCGCGCAGCCTGTTGTACTGCTTAACATAGAATGTAGAGCGAGAGAGAGAGACAGAAGCGAACCCGGTAGGCTCATTTGGGTGGGCACAGCCGGTCAGGCACAGCGTAGCGGACGAGGGGGTCGAGACATGCCATCTGAAGGGCGATTCGTTGGACGGGGGCGGTCGTTCTGGGGGCGCTCAAGGTGCGTTTGGTATATCGGTTTCGTGCGAGTGCCGTTGAGGGGGGGCTAGGTAGTAGAGACACATTGGAGATGGGATGAAAATCCACGGACGGTTGAGACCCGGGTGGGCGATGTGGGTGGTTGGTCCGCGTGGGGTGTGGTGTGAGTGTGTGGGAGCAAGAAGAACCTTTGGTATAAGACTTGGCCGCCTCTGCCCATATCCCTCCATTCTCGAATCTTGGTTCAGCGGCCTGCGGTCATCTCATCATCTTCTTCACTTCTCAGTAACTAAGTCTTTCTTTACTGCGGCCGGCCCGCCTTTTTTCTTTATACCTACAATCCTCAACCAGCCTAACTCCCATAACCTCCTCCTCCTCCTCCCTTTAACCTAACACCGCCAACATGCAGCTCTCTTTCCTCCTCGTGCCCCTCCTGTCCCTCACGGCCTTGGCCAAGGACCACAACGGCGGCGGCGGCAGAAACTCGACCCAGGCGCAATGTAAGCGATTCTTGAAGGGCGAGAAGCTGGTCAAGATTGCCGGCAACGACACCCTGCTGGCCGAGATCACCAACAACAACGCCACCAAGATCGATCTCATCAAGAAGAAGGCCGCCGAGGTCCAGCCCAAGCTGGACGAGGCCAAGAAGAACGCCACCCTCATGACGACTTGCGACCAGGTCCGGGCCGTCCAGATGGAGAACGGACAGTGTGGTTTCATGAGGGGCATGGACAAGTTGACGAAGTTGGTTGCCAACGAGACCGCCCTGAACGCCCTCACCAAGAACAACGCCACCAAGGCCGACAAGATCAAGGCCAAGGTCCAGCAGGGTCAAGCCAAGTTGGCCGAGTTGCAGAAGAACACCACCCTCCTCCAGTACTGCTCGGCAAGGACCACCAAGGGCGAGTGCAAGCAGATGAACCGCTTGAAGTAAGTCGAACACCCGAATTCGATTGATGGAACCACCACTAACCACCAATTTACAGCAAGCTCGTTGCTCTCTCCAAGAACGACACCGCCCTGAACGACAAGTTCAAGGGCAATACCACCAAGATCGAGAAGTTCAAGGCCAAGGCCGCCAAGAAGGAGGCCAAGCTCAACGAGATGATGAACAACTCTACTCTCATGGGCGTTTGCCAACAACTCAAGACCGGCAACAACGGCAACAAGGGCGGCGCTCAGAACAGCAACAACGGCATTGACTCCGGTGCCGCTGGTGTCCGTACTGTTGGCGCCCTCAGCTTGGCCGCCGTCGTTTCCGTCGTCATCGGCTTGGTGATGTAAGGTGTCGATCAGGAATAGTTGACAAACATTTTCTGGAAGTAGCCAGTTGTATACAGAGATGCGTGTCGCTGAAGACGTCGGTCTCGAGTAACAACGCGGAGGAGGCCGATGCCGTTCGCTACGACGTTGGTGTGTGCGAGTCTTGTACAAAACCGCAGTCAGTTAGTTTGGGATACATTTTTGTGTTTCACTCATTCGGACGGATCGACGTGGACCTGACGGTGGCAGTCCATCGTTGAAAGGGCTCCAATCTATGATATATTCATATGTAATGAGTGGCTCAGGGTAATGTGTTAGAGCGAAGAGAAAATTTGAAAGTTACAGTCGTTACCAGTCTCTTTTGTGATCCTGGTTTGATGCCTCTAAACAACCAGGCCCTGTGTGCAAGAACGCCGCCCTCCACCTACCCTTTGCTGAGGGTATGTGGTCTTCGTCATCATCCGCGGTCGAGACGTAGCTCCGAGTTATCTGCATCGCGTATGTTGATCATCTGGAGTATCTGCAGAGAAAAAAGGATCGCACCCCAAAATGAAACTGAGAATGCAAAGTCGAGAAGCCTTTACTAAAACGTCAGCTTGTGAACATCACTGTGGTCGTTGGATGTGACAAACCGTGAAACCTAGAAAAAAAGAAAACGCATGAACTCCTGACGGTCTTAATGCCTGATCAAGAAGCATTCCAAGTCAAATGCGAATGCCCCTCCTCATTTTCAGGACGAAGTGATCTGGGATAACTGTTAGCATGGAGCGCATTGGAGACGTCCGTGACCTACTTTTGTAAGTGTCGCCACTGCGGCCTCGCAAACCGCCAGAAGCTGAAATTTGGCAGAGAATATTGCTAACCTCAATCATCAGAGTCATCGCCGCGATCAGTGAAAAGCCCGTTGCTGATATCCATTCCACGAATCGTGAAGTCAAGTGTCTGACGCCAGGAAGCCTCAATCGCCCTCTTCCGGTTTGGTGACCAAGGTAGGATCGGCGACCAGCGTGCGGAGGGCCGTGACTGGACGCACCGGCTGCCGCCACGCATGCTGTCACTTCCAACATTCTGCCAGGGCTGATGAGACTTTCTATGGCCGTTTGGGTTGCGGCGAGGGTGTCTTTGCGGTGGAGGTGTGCGAGCACGTGCCTTCACTGCCGGAGATTTTTGAGCGTCGATGGCGGTATCGCGTTCAGCGGGGGTGACGGGCGACTTTCCACCGGAGGCGGGAGCGAAGATGGCATTATCTCGAGAAGAGGGACTGACAGCCGGTGATCTCTGGAAGTGTTGGTTTACTTCGGGGTCAATGTGGGACGTCTGTTGCGAGTTGACGTCGCCATCTTCGAGAAGCTGGCCCTCTTCTTGAGCATTGGTGGTAGAGCTCTTCACGCGTTGCCCTGTTTCGTCTTCGATGAAGGGGTTGGCGCTAGTCTGAGTATCATCCATGGGAAGATTCGGGCTGAGTCTGACTGTTTGACTGCGATCACTCGGGGGAGGAGCCTCTGAGCGACACATAGAAATGACCCGACTTCTGGAAACGTTGATAGGGGACTCTCCACGGCTGGGCACAGCAGAAGGTCGAATGAAACCGAATCCATTTGTTGAGTCCCTAACTCGGGGTGCTGAGCGCTCGTCTTCGGGGATCCTGCTCTTCGAACGCGAAGTTCGCGACCTGACTTCGGTGGAATGATAACGGTCCACGGTGATCGAATCGGGGGGCCAACTCTCATTCACAAATTCTGTGTCGGAAGAAGGACCGACTGTCGAAGAATCGATATCTGAGGATGAGTCGATCACAATCGGCTCCGTCAGAGGTCGAGAGGGACTTGTAGCCCTAGGAGACGAGCAGACGCTTCCGTGTTCGCTGATGAGGTGCTCCTCAGGCGCAAATGTGACCGATTTCGCCGTGCGATCGTCGCCAGTGAAAGGCTCAGAAGGTGATGAAGGGCATCCTGCCGTGCTGGAAGCGTCACCTTCATTAGAACGCGCTTCGTCTCTGACAAGCTGGAGTTTGTCGATCTTGTACTCATCGTTCAAAATAGGCGCCAGGAACACGAGGTTATCCTTCCTGAAAGCCGCGTTGTACTCGTCGACCGCCGTCTTGACCGATCCCACGAGCCGCGCAAAGCCTTGAACGTAGTCGGAAGGAACAGAGTTGGTGGACATCGTGTTCGCAGCTGGGGTGGTGGTTCCGAATGCGGATCTGTCTTGGGACGATCGAAGGTTGTATACCATCGTCTCGTTAATGATCTCGAAGAAGCTTGAAGATGAGGTTGAATTGGAGGTGGATAGTTGCTGTGAGAAGACTCGTGGTAGAGAGTGACGTTGTAGGTTAAAGACGGCGAGAGGGGCAAGGTGCGATTTGAATATAACAAGCCCTAGATCTCTGGCGGTTTGAAAGGAAAGCGTGAGTGGACAGCTTACAACGGAAGGAGGGTGGCCGGTACCTCTTGCCTAAGTATCCTCCTGGGAACTTGGATGCCAGATCAGGTTTTGTTAAGAGGAGAGAAACTTGGCTCTTCTGAGAAGCAACTCCTTCAGCGTTTGGTTCTCAAAAGGGTGCCTCGATGTGAGATGTACGCCGTAGTCGCGGGAGGAAAATTGATTATACTATCATTTGGTTTTATAAAATTTGTTGCTATCGACGAAAAGGCAGTTGACCTCATTCCGGACCTTGGGTGGTTATTTAAGAGCATCTTCAGTGCAAGACAACACAGTGATAAATGCAAAGTGATTCAGGCCTTAGAACCGCGATGCCTTCTCAGGAACAATAATATTGATAAAGCATCACTCGCAGCAGTCAAAGAGGGTTATAAGCCACTCTTGATTCTAAGCTGCAATTTTTGACTTGAGGTCAGAATAGTTCCTAAATGTCCCCTAGGAAGACGAAGTCACCTAATCTGCTACTGAAACGAATACTTTTTATGATACGATACATATGTACTGCATTTTATATCGGGTACCTACACCGGACCGACCTTCTCATACGTACGTAGACGCATGCCTTATATCAAGAATGAAGTGAGCAATCCAGCTAAGACCGCGCCATCCCCGAAGAAGCCTTTCTTTTTGGTGGGAGAACTCTCGACATCCTCATTCTGGCCAAAGTCAGCAATCGCCTTCTTCGCAGCCTTGGCCCGCGAGCCTTCGACCTTGATCGCCGGCACCCGCAAACATCCTCCATTCATAACCGGAATGAAGATGGCCCCGCCGGTTTCCTCCGGGAAGTAAGGCACCGCGAACTGGCCCCAGTTCTCGGGATCCTTCCCCTCCGGGCCCTCGGGCTTCCACAGCCACGTAACCCACTTCACCTCCCGATCTCCCTGAGGCAAATCTTCCATGGCCAGAGAGCCATTCTCGCGCTCACGGTACCGCTCCTCCCACGCCTCGATATGCTCCGGCATCTCCACGACTTGCATATGCTCAAGGAACATTCGCATGACCTTCTTATCCTCGTGGTGCACCGCCTCGCACCACAGCGGACCGAGAACGCGCTGACGGAGGACGATGTCGTCGGCACTCCACTCCGCCCAGTTGATCTGACGGTCGTGCTTCGTCAACTTGGGCGCGTGGCAGAGCTTCTCGACCTCCTCCCCTTCGGGCTTCCAGCCCACGTCCTTCAGAGGCGGGACGTGCAAGCCGCGGCGGAGCCCGTCGACCAGCATGTCCGCCGCCAGAGGGGTGACGATGTCATGCAGTTCCTGCGTGGTGCAGTTCTCGGGGATGGGGATACCCGGGAGCGGAGTCTGGGATAGAACGGTGCCGTGGTCAAAGGTCTTGTGGTGGAGGGTCTGGAGAGTGACACCCGTGTGCGTGCGCCTTTGGAGGAGGGTGTGTTGGAGAGGCGCGGGGCCGCGGAAGCTGGTCATACCTGGTCAACATCTGAGATGCCGGTGAGCTGGTTGGGGGGAGGGGTTACTCTGGAAGAAGCGACGGGTGAACGTTCAGGCCGCCGTACTTTGCGAGGTTCAGAAGTCTGGGAGGTACGAAGAGGCCAAAAGACACGGCGATGATTAGGTTGATGTCGATTTCGGGCTATGGATGTCAGAAACTTGAAATGAACTGGGCCACTGTGATATGGACACACCTGCCACCCGGTGAAGGTATCCCTCTCATGGATCGGCAACTTCATATCTTCAGCCAACATCTTCAGAGGAACTGTCACGCATCAGCAGATCCTCTCCGACTTCTGAAGAGATTGACAACACACCCTGACGAATCTCTTTCATCCCCCTACCCGACAACTTGCCGGGTCGGACCACGACGTCCAAAGACTCGATCAGCCCAGGATTGCGCTCCTTCTCCGTGACCAAAGCATTGAGTGCGGCGCAGCTAAAAGAGTCGGAGCCGCAGAATAAGATCCGGAGCGGGTCCGAGGCGGGGGTGGCCGCCGCCGCCGAGTAGCTGCGGCAGGTCGGACGACGGAGGAGGCGCGCGCGCGCAAGAGCGGCTGATCGAACAGCCAGCCACTTCATATCGAGAGTAAAGTTATGCTCCCGGCAAACATTGCCTCGCTAAACTTAAAGCCAGGAAGTCCGAGTTAAGATCCAGTCGAAACGGGGTTCAGTTTTGACCACCAAAGTGTAGCCATTGTTGTAGCATCTGAGTGCCAGCATTCGATCAGGAACGGATAGTGGAGCGACAGGCAGTGGATTGTTGCTGATATAAGAATACAGCCCGGAAGCGCGACAATACATACATATGGCTTTATGCAATAATTGGGGAAATCATATCCCGTTCGATTTTCAGAAGGTGCCGAAGAGATTCCCATTCCCAAACAATGATATGATTTAATGAAGCAGTGCATGACGCAAAGAGCGAAATTTGAGATTTTGAAATGTTTGATATGTCATTAGGTTTATATCATAGTATACAAGAAAATTCATGCCCTGCCAATGCAGGCGTGGTATCATCATATTCGCACAATTTCATCCAACCCATCGCTAAACACCACTCCTTTGGTACGCCGGCGCCGTATCATTTACACGTATTTGTATATGAGGACTATGGGTGGTTTCATGACCAACCCAAAGCCTGTTACTCAACTCGAGTGTTCGAGTTTAGTAGCGGTTGCGCTGCCACCAGCGGCGGCGGCGGTACGGGGTGTGGGTGGCGGGAGGAGAGTAGTGGTCGACCTTAGCCCTCTGCTGGCGGCGCTTGTGCAGACGGCCGCTGCAGCAGGTGAAGAAGACGATGATAGTGCCGAGCAGCAAGCAGATGGCGGCAGCCAGCAGGGTCCAGAGTGCGACGTCGAAGTGGGCGTAGCTGGCGCTGTCTCCGCCGTCATCGTCATCGTTAACGTTCTTGCGCACGAGAGCAAAGCCCACCCAGTCGCAGACAAGGGCGACGAGTGTAATAATGAAGGCGAAGCCGGCAGTGAGCGCGGCGAAGAGAGAGCCGAACAAGCCGGCGCCAACGGAGAGAACGAAGGCGATGAAGGCGACGACGGCGCCGATGGGGTGGAGGATCATGACGCGCGTCAGAGCCTCGGCGGTGTTGGAAGAGTAGCCGGAGTAACGGGTGCCATCGGCCTCGGTCACGATCTGGGCCGGGTCATAGCCGATGCGGGCGCTAGGGCATCTGTCGGAGCCACTGCAATGTGTTAGTTAAGGGTTGCTCTAGTTGGATAGAGGGTGTCGTACTCAGCGTTCGCGCCGCGGATGCAGTATCCAAAGGTGCCAAATGTGATCTCGTTGCCTGCGGAAGCATCGCCAAGCTTCACCGTCAAGATGGAGATGTTGTTCACCACAGGTGAAGAGATGCTGGTGACAACCAGAAGGACCGTTGCTACGAGGAGCAGAAAGGTACCAAAGTGGTGAATGAAGCCGGTGACAGCCATGATGATACGTATTACTGCCGGCTGGCTAGTGTACGAGGTTGGTGTTTGTTGATTGGTATTAAGCTAAGTTAAACGATACAAGTGGCGATGGAATATAGAACAGATGAACACGTTCGCTGAGGGAGGGCGAGATGGTGCGCATATAAACACCACCCTCAGAGCTCCTGGGTTGGGCTACGAAGCAGGAAAATGCATGATGTGCGATGATCTGTGACTGTAACCACCCTGGGCACACCGTTCGGGGCCAAGAATGCCGTGTAAGTCAGGGTCTCGAAGCAGCCCAACGGATGCGACGTCATCATCGTGGCCGAGGCCGAGTCTGGCCCTCTATTCTCGTGGCTTGAGAAAAAGGAATGGACCCTTGCTTGCGCAAGCAGTCCCCGCGCCACGGTTGGTCGGCGCGACCAGGCTCCTCCGCGATTGTTCTCTCTGGTTCGAGCAAAAGCTGGTGATGGTGGCTTTGGGGGAAGAGAACGTGGCATTGGGGGGGGCCTTGACCGTGACGTACTAGCGACATCGCCAAGCTGATTGGTCCGTCACGGCGTCGCTTGCCGATCTAGGGTATTGCAGGTTGCAGTTGTTCCTTGTTTTGTGGCTCTGGAATGACGCCACGCCCTGAATGAACCCTTGCAATGGTAATCCAACTTCAACGTCAGAGACGTTGGACAGCTGACTGCCGTTATTGCCAATTCAAGTGTTTTCCTCGCAAGCGCGCCCTGCAGCCCATCGTCAGAAAGACATACGGCGTGGTAGCACTAGCGAGGGCCTTGAAAGACACGTTCGTCATGGCTGACGGTGTATTTTGCCGGTTTTTGCAATCTCTTGTCAAAAATGTCAACCGTCGACGGCCTCCCCCGTAGTGGTTCGCTTTCATCGGCCGAGAGCTCGACAGGTCAATGCACCACCCAATATCGCATAAAATTAGGTTATGCAGCCGAAACATAAGCAGTCCCGTCCGATAATCTGGCCAATCGAGAGGCGTGTTGCTCGCTGTCTGCCATCCCATCTCCTGAAGGGACCTGTCGGTTTGGTCGGGAAATGTGATTCCGTCAGATGCGATACGCCTAGGCATTCTACCGTAGCCTGAGGCGAAACACCTAAACTCCGATCAGGCTGGGGGTATGATATTCCTTTAGCCTTGGCCTCCGGGAGCGGCGATGGTATCGATAGGGACGCGCAGTCGGCATGAATCTGTACCAAGGGGCTAAAGCTTTGGTCAAATTTTTTTGTCGGGCTGTACGTTTCCCGTTGCACGAGGATAGTTTGATCATTCGTTCCCATCGAGACTCACTCCCTCCCTTGATACTGCCGAAGATGCAAAAGTCCCTGCATGATGGGAGGAAGCTTCTCTCGCCGTTCGCGATTTTCAGCGCGGTCGATGATGGCGCGTGTTCTCACATCCACCGACTTTGTACCGAGGAGGATGTCCTCCCAAAGCTGGCTTCTAGCAGAGGCCGGGATCTGTCCGCCTGCCTCCCAGTCAGACAGCCCTTCAGCCGCAATGTTGTCAGGCAGAGCATCCTTCATCATTACTTTCATGGCGGTTCGTGGGCGGTCTTCGGGCCAAGGTCCGTGGAGCGGCGACTTCCTAATGGCAGCCGAGTGGATGTATGACTCTGCCGGAAAGATATGCACCGTGAAGTCCTTGTGAACCTCATCAGTCGTGGCCTCGTCGGCTTCGTCCGTGTCTTCCGTGTTCTTGGTAATGATGGGATCGGTCGGGGTCGCGCTCGTCAAAAAGGTCTTGACGGATCCGTTCGATCGAGGTGTTGCGAGTTGGTAGTGCAACGGGCTCATCTTGATGAGTTCCTTCGCCTGTGACGTTTCGGCCACCACCGTAATGAACGACGAGTTCTGGTCCTGTATTCAATGGCCAATTAGCTATCGAGACGTCAGAAATATCGTGACGGAGGAAAGCCCACATCTTGCTTTTTGAACACCTCGACCTGAGCGAACTTTTGCAGCGAGTGCAGAACTGCGCGTCGCTCAGCAAACCTCGTCGGTCTCGGAGACACAGCGACCTGAAGTGTTCGGGGACCGAGCTTGTACGAGAGTCCCTGGAGGACGGTATGCCCTTTCGTAGCCATTTCGCAGGCTGTCACAATAGGTATGGCGGATGTCACATGTATCGCGAAATCGCATCTTCATTTCAAAGCTCCGTTTAATGTTTGACTGCCAAACGGGAGCTCAAGTGGAGCCCCGTACCGTGCGATTATCACAGAATGCCAACGACCGCACAGTCTCTGGCCAGGGTGCCCCGCCAAATGGCGGGGAGGGAACACAGCTGAGACCGAGCCCTTCTAGAACAGCTTGGAATGCGCCTACGCCATCCATCTTTACTGCCTGCCGCGTGTCAAGAACCTGCCTCTATCTAGAATCTGTTGTACTAGACAGGAATTTAGAGCACTGTTTTGAAAGAATCGGACTCCCTACACCGACAAACGTATTCTTAGAAACACCCTAAGTCGTATCACCAACCCGAGTCTAAGCAACCATGGCCGCCATCATCGACGCCGACGACGCGATGGAGCCTACGCTCCAGTCCCTCCTCGACCAGCGCTCGTTGCGCTGGATCTTCGTCGGTGGAAAGGGTGGTGTCGGAAAGACCACGACCTCTTGCTCCCTCGCCATCCAGCTCGCCAAGCACCGCCGTTCCGTCCTCCTCATCTCCACCGACCCGGCGCACAACCTGTCCGACGCCTTCAACCAGAAGTTCGGCAAGGAGGCCCGTCTGATCGATGGCTTCACCAACCTCAGCGCCATGGAGATCGACCCCAACGGCAGCATGCAGGACCTCCTCGCTGGTCAGGGCGAGGACGTGGATGCCATGGGCGGCGGTCTGGGCGGTATGATGCAGGACCTCGCCTTTGCCGTACGTCTTGCTGTTTTCCCTAGCTACGTGTGTGTGTGAGCACTACTAACATGACATATCGCCACAGATTCCGGGTATCGACGAGGCCATGTCTTTCGCCGAAGTCCTCAAGCAAGTAAAGTCCATGTCCTACGAAACAATCATCTTCGACACCGCGCCCACCGGCCACACCCTGCGCTTCCTCTCCTTCCCCTCCGTCCTCGAAAAGGCCCTCGCCAAGGTCTCCCAGCTCTCCTCCCAGTACGGGCCCCTCCTGAACGGCTTCCTCGGCCAGGGCGGCCAGCTCCCCAACGGCCAGAACCTGAACGAGATGATGGAGAAGCTCGAGACGCTGCGCGAGACCATCTCCGAGGTCAACACCCAGTTCAAGGACGAGGCCCTCACGACCTTCGTCTGCGTCTGCATCCCCGAGTTCCTGTCGCTGTACGAGACGGAGCGCATGATCCAGGAGCTGGCCAACTACGGCATCGACACCCACAGCATCGTCGTCAACCAGCTGCTCTTCCCCAAGAAGGGCAGCAACTGCGACCAGTGCAACGCCCGCCGGAAGATGCAGAAGAAGTACCTCGAGCAGATCGAGGAGCTGTACGACGAGTTCAACGTCGTCAAGATGCCGCTGCTCGTCGAGGAGGTGCGCGGCAAGGAGAAGCTGGAGAAGTTCAGCGAGATGCTGACGACGCCCTACGTCCCCCCTGAGATGGACGCATAAGAGCGTGGTGCGCTTCGGGGCTGTGGTGTTGGGCGGTGCGTTGCGGTGCGGTTCAAAAACATGATTTTCACGACGGGATGGTAGCATGAGGCGTCAAGAGTCACGAGTGGAGACATAGAATACATTCACAAACGATTTGATACCCGGTGATGTGTGCAGGAGACTTTATTGATCATCTGGAGTGCGTGTTACATACGGCAAGAGCTCCACGCTGAGCAGACTGTTTTTGACAAGCCATTCGCTTGACAGGCCTCATATGCCTCCATATATGTTGGCCTTCCCTGCATTAGGACACATTTCCCGTCCAACTTATGAGAACCTCCTCCTGTCCGAAAAAGAAAACCTCCCAAGCCATCCCATGAACGCCGTTAATTTCTTAAGTGCCCTGTCCAACTTCCTCTTGGCGTGCGAGGATTTGTGTGTTATGCCGTGTCTTCCAGAATGATATGCCGTGATGCAGTGCGTGTCGTCTAGTATTATTACAGTGAAGTGAAGTAGAGGTGAGCGACCGTTTGTTGAAGTAATCGCGGAAGAGGCCAGCAGGGCAGCTCAAAGCTCCCGGTAGTCGCTGGGTCGCACGCGTCGTTGGCGGTTCTGATGACGGTGAGGGTTGACGGGCCTCCTAAAGTACGCGTCTTCGTCATTGCTGGGCTGAGTGAAGTTGTGGCGTTGCTGTTGATTGAAGGCGCCTCCCATTCCGCCACCGTTCATTCCGTTCATGCCACCGCCATTCATTCCACCGTTTATTCCACCATTCATACCATTCATGCCATTCATGCCATTCATGCCGTTCATGCCGTTCATGTTGCCGCCGAAGTTACCTCCGTACATGTTGTTGTTGCCCATGTCGAAGCCGCCGTTCATGGGGTTGAATCCGGGCATACCCATCATGGGGTTCATCATGCCCATCATCGGCATACCCATGTTCATGTTGCCCATGTTCGGCATGTTAGGCATGTTGGGCATGCCCATGAAACCGTTCATCATGTTCATGTTGTTGAAGCCCATCATCGGGTTCATGTTCATGTTGCCCATGCCGTTCATGCCGTTCATCATTGCTTGTTGTTCTTGCTGCTTCTGCATCGCCTTGGGTGCTTTCGGAATCTTGGGGTTCTCCATCAATTCGTCGGCGGGACGTTTCTTGGAATTGGTTGACTCCTCAGACCCGGCGCGCTCGGCTGCTGGCTTGGCTGGAGCAGTTGCGGGTGTTGCTGATGGTGACTTGGGTGTTCCGTCGACCGGGCCTGCGGCGGTAGCGGGAGCGGTGGAGGGTGACTTCTTTGGCGTGGGTGACTCTGCGGTTCCGTCTGCGGTTTCTGGTTTCGCCTCCTCCGCATTCTCTTTCGCGCCCTCCTTCGGCGAAGCGGGTTGGACCGGCGAGGCAGCGGTTGCGGTCGGGCTCTTGACCTCGATCTTCTCCTTGAGGAAGTCCTTGATCTTGTCGGCAGCCTCCTCATCAGCTTTCAGGTCGTCGATTAGAACGCCCTCGTTAGAACAGTTGGGGCAGACGAAGTCCGATTCGATGAGAGCATTCGTAATGCAATCATTACAATACGTCTTCTGGCAGCACGGGGTCTTCATTGGGTCTATGAACATCTTCTTGTCGATGGGGCATTCCAATCCCTTCTCCTGCAGCTCCTTGTCTCCCATAGCAATTGCCTTGGCAGCGGAGGCTGAAGACTTCGCCTTGGCTTGGAATTGTTCCCACGACGCCTTGTCAGGCTCAGCGATAACGAATTCTCCCTCTGCGTTGACCATGATGCCTGATGGCCTCTTGGACTCGTCGTCGCCGCTCTGGGCCAAGGCGACAGACTTGTCGACTGTGCGCAGGAACGACCGCGGGATACCAGTAGTCCGCTTTACACGCGGACGGTTGTCGAACTCTGGATCATCGTTTGTGGGGCACAGCTGAATCCAGTGCCCCTTCTCTCCGCAGCGATAGCAGATGTATCCGTTGGGAGGGTCATGGTCGGGCACATTCGCTGGCTTCTTAGATCCAGGCTTGAAGACCGGTGTTTGACTGCGTTTCTGTTAGCGATGTTGCATGCTGTGATTTCGATCGGGAACACTTACTGTGACATTTCCTCCTGCTGAGCAGACCAAGACTCGGTCTGAGCCTGGAACATGGCCGCCATTTTCTCCTCCTCAGTCATGGCATTGTTCATCTGGCTGATGGCATTCGAGGCCGCCTTGGCAGTCGCCGTCTTGGTCGTCTGTTCCTTGCGAGACGAGTTCTTTGCGGCGACGGGCATCTTGCCAGAGACGTATCTCGCGCCACGGCCAGCGCCGGGCTTCGCAGCCGGTAGTCGGCGGGCGACAACGGTCGTTGATCGGGGAATGATTGTCGTGTCATCATCATATTCTAGCAAATGTCAGACCTGGGGATCATCATTGTAGGGTGAAAAGGGCAGCTTACCTTCACTTCCATCTTCGGAGTAAATGGCCAAATCAAAGTCGGTACCGTCGCCGAGTCCGCTCTTCAAGATGATATCGCGCTTCAGCTCGAACACAGAAATACCAGTGCCGTCGAACTCGACTCGCGTCGGTTCCTTTTGCGACTTGAACTTGAAAAAGACGGAAGACGCCATGGTGTCTCGGGTTGCGTGGTCTGGTCACAGCAACAGTTGATCGAAGCAGAGGCGATGGTAAAGCCGAGAAGCGACCACGTAGACGCGAAGCTAGGTGAGTAGAGAGTGATTTGATGCTAGTAATTTTTTCTTGCTTTTTGAGTGATCTCTCTTGCGTTCAGCACCTCTCAAGAGTAATGGAAATCAATTCTGATTTACTTGGAAGAACAAGGAAATAAGGGTTGCGGAGTGTAGAGAAAGAGTACAATGCCAAAGAGGCCGACACCAGATGGAAGATAGGCAGCCCTTTGTGTGAATCCCTCCTCACAGCCAAAATCACCTCGACACCGTGCGCACCATCAGTCGAGAAGCCTCAACAAGCCAAAGATTGAATTCCTGGTCAGTATATGTATGCGTGCCGAGAGGAGAGCAGTCGCAAAGCTCTGCCTGCCAGGGAAATTAGGCAGGTTTCGGGATCGGAGATGGGTTCGTTCAGCGGGCACTTGCGTCGCTTGTCGCTGGAAGTTCGCGATGTGTTTGGTCGAAGGTTGTAGGGCGGTTATCCGTTGCACAACCGTACAATGGCGAAACGCTGGGTAGGGCGATGCGTTGCAATCGGAATGACGATGAATGGCGACGTGGTGTTGATGTGGGTGGCAGGAGAAAGAGGAGTCAAGAAAAGGGGGGAGAGAGGAATATAACCGGGCAGGCAGGAGGGAGTCTGGAACCCACCTGGGTCACTGCCACCTGATTCTGTAGCGCACCTTCTCTGGGGTCTACGGGCTGCAGTACAGTGGATTGAGCAAGTGGCACGTGAGGTATCAGAATTTCTAAGCGGCCGGGGCGTCGAACCTGCCACTTCTTTTGTGTTGCAGAGATTTGAGCTGAGTCATCAGTTGACAGTTGTTCACGGTCGTTCCCAGCTGAAGGAGACCAGACTTTCTGCTGCTTATCACCGCCTTCTGGGAACGGCAGCTCCCAATGGCAGGCACGTGACCCATCACGCAAAAGTTCTTACGATTGTCTTAGCGGCTCCACGCGTTTGCAATTGGCTGGTCCCCTACTCCATTCCCGTCCCGCCCCTCGTCTGGCTGTCTGGCTGATACGGCCGCTGCTTTCCGAAGCGCCACGCATTGTGAACCCCGCCATCCGAGCTGTGGGCAGGTGCATGTGGTGGTACTTCTTGCCGTGCAGCAGAATTCTGGTCAGCTCTATTGCGCCCGATGTAGAAGGTCCAGTCCGGCGTCATGCCCCGCACCTCATTGTTGAGCGGTCTTGCCCGCCCTCAGACTACTCGAAAGTTTCTTCCTACAACTCCTAGATTCCTCCCGTGTTGGCAGACGACTTCGATAGCTAACACTCGCCGTTCCTACCTTACTCCGGCAATAAAAGCACACCAAGCTCGCAAGATGGCTCCTAACCTCGACGGCTACTTCAAGCAGGTCGATGCCGACTCCGACCACTTCATCGAACGCCTCAGGAAGGCCGTTGCGATTCCCTCGATCTCTGCCGATGTCGCCCGCCGTCCCGATGTTGTGAAGATGGGCCAGTGGCTCGCCGGCGAGCTGAAGGCTCTCGGTGCCTCGGTCGAGCTTCGTGAACTTGGCGAGCAGCCTGACAAGCCCGGTCTGCAGCTGCCCCCCGTGGTCCTCGGCAGATATGGAAACGACAAGAACAAGCGCACGATTCTGGTCTACGGCCACTACGACGTCCAGCCTGCTGAGAAGAGCGACGGCTGGTCTACCGAGCCTTTCGAGCTCTCAGTCGATGAGAAGGGCCGCATGTTCGGTCGTGGTTCTACCGACGACAAGGGTCCCGTCCTTGGCTGGCTGAACGCCATCGAGGCTCACCAGAAGGCTGGTATTGACTTCCCCGTCAACCTGCTCATGTGCTTCGAGGGTATGGAGGAGTACGGCTCTGAGGGTCTGGACGACCTCATTGAGGCCGAGGCCAAGAAATACTTCGCTGATGCCGATGCCGTCTGCATTTCCGACAACTACTGGCTTGGAACCGAGAAGCCTTGCTTGACTTACGGTCTTCGTGGCTGCAACTACTACTCCGTTGAGATTTCCGGCCCCGGTGCCGACCTCCACAGCGGTGTCTTCGGCGGTACTGCCCAGGAGCCCATGACGGACTTGGTCCGTGTTCTCGGTTCTCTCGTTGATACCGATGGCAAGATCCAGATTCCTGGCATTAATGAGCAGGTCGCCCCTGTTACCGCTGAGGAGGAGACCCTCTACGACGGCATTGCCTTCACCATGGAGACTCTCCAGGAGTCTCTCGGCAGCAAGACGACTATCTTTGAGGACAAGAAGCCGACCCTCATGGCCAGATGGCGCTACCCCTCCCTCTCCGTCCACGGTATCGAGGGTGCCTTCTCTGCCCCTGGCGCAAAGACTGTAATCCCCGCCAAGGTTACCGGCAAGTTCTCCATCCGCACTGTCCCCAACATGGAGATCGAGGCCACCAACGAGGCTGTCTACAAGTACGTCAAGGAGCAGTTCGCCAAGCTTAACAGCAAGAACACGCTCAAGGTCTGGGCTCAGCACACCGGCAAGTGGTGGGTTGCGTCGCCCAAGCACTGGAACTTCAGCGCTGCTGCCAAGGCCACCGAGCGCGTTTGGGGTGTTCAGCCCGACTTCACTCGCGAGGGTGGAAGGTAAGATTTCCGCTTGAATCTCTGCTCATGACCCCAGCTGACTCTCTGTAGCATTCCTGTCACCCTGACTTTCGAGCAGGCTACTGGCAAGAACGTCTTGCTTCTGCCTATGGGTAGCTCCACCGACGGCGCTCACTCCATCAACGAGAAGCTGGACAAGCGCAACTACATTGAGGGTATCAAGCTGTTGGGCGCTTACCTGCACTACGTTGCCGAGGAGCCCACTGAATAAGTGGCCGTGTGACGCTTAAGGAGAGAGGATGTCAGGAATAGCAGACCCGGTAGCGTACCATGGTCAGGTGCACATGTATGGCTAGAAGCGGCTTTTTGACGGCCTGCTGCCGGTGATTCTGCGGACACGCACATTGGAGACAGTTAGCTACTAGCAGAAGGCAGCTGACGAAGCAAGATCGCTTCAGATCTTCACAGTCCAGATCATAGGTCACGTAATCAAATACCCAAAGTAAATTCTGTCAATAAGTGCTCATTTCAGTTCTATGTATTGGGGGTATTAGTCCGTTAGACGTCATACTGCGCGTTCGGCGGTGGTGGTATATGGTGTGCCAGCAAATTGAACCCAGAAAAAAAAAAAAAACGCCAGTGTGAATGATGAAGCCAGACGGCTCGGATATCTCGTTCGTGAGTGGGGGGGGGGGGGGGGGGGGGGGAAATGAAGAGAAAAAAACGAAAATGGAGTTGATG